CAACACAGCAAGAACTCGTCTCTACAAAACAAAAATCAAAAAATTAGCCAGGCGTGGTGGCACACACCGGTAGTCTCAGCTACTCAGGAGGCTGAGGTAGAAGGATCGCCTGAGACGAGGAGGTCAAGGATCGCCTGCGGCGAGCTGTGACCATGCCACTGCACTCTAACCAGGGCAACAGAATGAGACCCCACCTCAAAAATAATATAATAACAGTACCTCATAGGGGCTTATAAAGATTAAATGAATCAATGCACACAGAGCTTTAATATGATCCTGGCATATAGTATAGTAAACATTAATAATAGAATCAGCATTATTTATTATTATTATTATTACCAGGATCAGCAAGAAACAAGATGAGATAGGAGCTGGTGGGAAGGAGAGTCTTTCTAGAAGCCGGCCCAGTCATCCTCTCTCTCCTCCCAAACCCTCTTGCATGGATATCCATTCATTCATTCATGCAGTCATTCATCTACAAATATTTACGGAGCGTCTCCTGTATGTCCATCTCTGTGCAAAGCACCAGGACACAATAGTGACCAAGACAGAAGTCCCTGACCTGAGGACCTGACCAGCTAGCAGAGGAGACCTTTGCGAAAACACAAGAAAATGCCCAAGATATTTACACATTTTGAAAGCCGGCAGTAAGAGCAGTGAGGGAACAACCAGCCAAGGTGCAACACAGTGGTCTCCAAGAGACAGTTGGCCCTTTGGCTGGGCAGGCAAGGAGGGCTTCTCTGAGGAGGTAACGACTCATCATTAGACCTGATTGAGGAAAAGAGCCCACCAGGCAGAGAAAAAAGGGAAGAGATTCCCAAGCAGAGTAGACAGCAAGGGTAAAGGCCACGGGGAAGGAGGACCGGAGGGAAGTGGGGCATTCAAGAGAGGATGGGGGTTTTGTTGGGGCAGCCGCCAGGCTCACTGTCCTGGCTGCAGAGCCAACATCCTGGTTGGCACAACCCCAAAGGATCAGGCTCCCGCAGACCCAGAGCCCCCCACCCATGCCAGCAGGAATCGAGGGACCTGGACCCATGGCCTGGCATTGGCCTTTCTGGTCACTGTGTCTGTCTCCACCAGCTCAGGGGGGTTTTCCCTGCAGGTGCCAGAGAGACGGTTCAGCTCAACCTGACAAAATGGATTGAATGTCTGCTCCGTGTGTGTATCTGTATGTGCGCATGTGCTCGTGTGTGTCTGTGTGCACATGTGTGCTGGCCTGCAGAGGGGGTCTTTAGAGCAACACAGACCTAGGCTTGATTTCTTCTTGACCACCCACAAGAGCCAAGAATATCTCTCGGAGTCTCTCGGTCTTCTCCTCTATAACAACAGGGGCTCAGAGTTGTGCCCCCTCGAAGGGAAATTGCAATCATTACATGGGGTGTATTCAGAGAACAAGTATTTAGGGAGCACCTACTATGTGCCAGGCACTGTTCTCAGTCAAAAAATCCCAGCCAGACGCAGTGACTCATGCCCGTAATCCCAACACTTAGGGAGGCCGAGGTGGGAGGATTGCTTGAGCCCAGGAGTTTGAGACCAGCCTGGGCAACATAGTAAGACCTCATCTTTATAAAAAAAAATTTTAAATCAGCTAGGGATAGTGACGCACGCCTGTAGTCCCAGTTACTTGGGAGGCTGAGTCAGAAGACTCGCCTGAGTCCCGGAGGTCGAGGCTGCAGTGAGCCACAATCGTGCCACTGCACTCCAGCCTGGGAGACAGAGAGAGACCCTGACTGAAAACAAACAAGCAAACAAACAAAAAACCCTGCCATGTTGGATCTGGCATGGCAGTCGGGGTGTGATGGGGAGACAGACGGGGTCAAGGTAAACTGAGGTGATGAGGATGCTGGAAGGTCAGGAGAGATGTGAGGACAGACGAGGAGGGCTGGGACTGGGAGTGCTAGGGGCGCGTGGCACCTGGGGGGATTCAGTGGGTCTCACGAGAAAAGGACACTGAGCCAGTGCTTGGACAAAGGGAGTGAGCCCACCGTGGGGTCCCCAGGACCCAGGGGGGAATCTCCAGTCGCGGGCCCTCGGACAGGGACGGCAGCCGTGCAGGCTGCCATCTCTGTGGAGTCTTGGGCTTTTTCTCCCATGTGCTGCTGGAGGGCCACGCGGGTCCCCCAGCCCTGACCTTGAACCCCAGCCCAGGTGGGTTTGGGAGTTTGAGTCATGTTGCAGACACACTATGTGTTCAGAACACGTGCGGCGAGGTCTGGGGTGACGCCCGAAATCAAACATGATCCCATTTTTGCAGTGAAACATATGGATTTGCCAGGTGTGGTGGCTCAAGCCTGTCATTCCAGCACTTTGGGAGGCTGAGGTGAGAGGATTGCCTGAGTCTGCGGGTTCGAGACCAACCTGGGCAACTTGGCAAGCCCTCATCTCTACCATAAATCAAGAAACTAGCTGGATATGGTGGCACGTGCCTGTAGTTCTGGCTACTTGGAAGGCGGAGATGGAAGGATCACCTGAGCCCAGCAGATCGAGGCTGCGGTGGTCAGGAGCATGCCACTGCACTCCAGCCTGGGTGACAGAGTGAGACTCCAACAAAAAAAAAAGAAACATATGAATTTGTATCCTCCTTAGAGGGGACCCGTAAAGACAGCAGACATCCTCTTGCCAAGTATGTCAGAAAAGACTTTGAATGTGAGTTTTTTTTTTTTTAGTCTTACTCTGTCACTAGGCTGGAAGGCAGTAGCACAATCATGGCTCACCACAGCCTCGACCTCCTAGGCTCAGGCAATCCTCCCATCACAGCCTCCTAAGTAGTTAAGACTACCAGTGTGTGCCACTACCACTGGCTAATTTTCTGATTTTTTTTGTAGAGACGAGGTCTTGCTATGCTACCCAGGCTGATCTCCAAACTCCTGGGCTCCAGCAATTCTCCTGCCTCGGCCTTCCAAAGTGCTGGAATCACGGGCACGAGCCCCCATGCCTGGCTGGGTGTGGGGTTTCGACTCGCAGATGCGGGCTTGTGAGCCTGGGGCATTTCACCACCACTGTTGGCATTACCAGCATCATCACCGCCATGTATCTGTGGGGGCTGAACTCCCAGGTTCTTGTAGGGACCCCAGTACTCTCCCCTCCCTGGGGGTGCAGAGAGACAGATGTGGCAGGAACGGGATAGGAAATGGAGAGCGGCAGCGGGCTGAGGCGACAGGACTCCCGTGCGCCACCAAGGAAACCTTCTCTCTCTCCTTGGCCTCAGTTTCCCCCATCTGTGCCATGTCTGGAGCCTCTACAAGGTAGACTCCCACAGGGCCCTGTCAGGCAATGGAGACAGGGGTTCAGTCCTGACTATGCCACCAGCTAGCTGTGTGACCTCGGGCAAGTCGCTCTGTCTCTCTGAACCTCGGTTTCCTGACCTGAAAATGGGGGTGAGCATGGTCCCTTCTTCACAGGGCCGTGGGTGGAAAGAACGGCCCTCATGCATGGGAGACCTTTGGGGATGCAAAGCTCTGAAGGAAAGCAGGGGTTTGTCGCCATGACAGCAGATACTCGGTACATGGCATGAAACTCACGCAAATTCAGCTGGACGCACCAGGCCGCCAGGGAGAGAAGGAACAGTTTATCTAGTGAAGGCCATTACACCCGAGATCCGCTGTCTGCTTGGTGGTGCTGACCCTGGGTGGGCAAGATTAGATACCCAGTCTGCAGTTATTTTCCTGGGGGTGTTCTATTTCCCAGGCCTCTCCTGGTTTAAGCCCAGGGTGATTCTGTGGGTGTTGTGCTCACAAAAGCCTCCTAGTCATAAACCAGCCTCTTCTTCTGGTGCTCGACTGAGACACAGAACGTTGGCCTTCTGCGATCGTTGTTTTCCCGAAGCCCTGAGATGGCTTCAAGTTGGACGTGGCTCCCCTGATCACTGTGGTTTTAAGAAGAGGCCTTTCTTGGCTGGGTGCGGTGGCTCATGCTTGTCATCTCAGCACCTTGGGAGGCTGAGGAGGGAGGATCGCTTGCTCCCAGGAGTTCAAGACCAGCCTGGGTAACAGCAAGACCTTGTCTCTACAAAAAATAAAAAAATTAACAAAACTAGCCAGGCGAGGTGGCACGTGCCTATAGTCCCAGCTACTCGGGAGGCTGAGACGGAAGGCTCGCCGGAGCCCAGGAGATCCAGGCTGTAGTGAGTCATGATCGTGCCACTGCACTCCAGCCTGGGTGACAGAGTGAGACCCTGACTCGGAAAAAAAGAAAAGAAAAGAAACAGAAGAAGAAAAAGAAAAAAAGGTGTTTCTGACCTTTTGAGTCAGCAGAGTAGGGGGTTCAAGGAAGGAAAATTCAGGCATGAAAATCATTTGATGTGAATCAACACTGTCGTTATGAAGAGGTGGGTGGATTGCTAGAGGGAATCATTGTTTCAGGGGTAAAGGGAACACCTGACTTCCAAACCACATGGAATCCGATCGTAGGTTTCTTATCTCTGAAATAAAGGGGCGATGGCCCCCCTCACCTGAGACTTCAGGGAAGAAATGGGGTCCCCTGCGAAGAACCCTCGCCCTGGAGTCTACACAGGGTTGGGGCGCTGTTATTAGAAGGCCATCAGCCATATCCCAGGCTCTCCCTGTGGTCCGGGGTGCTGGCTGGACCTGCCGCAGGCCACTGTCTCGCCTCCACTTCCCCATGTACAGGGGCTTCAAATGCAAATGCCCGAGTGTCCGAGCAGACAGAGTGAGGCAGAGGTGGGCATCGAGATTCAGGATCTGAAGCTGGCTGGTCCGGGCCATGCTTGGCCCTGCTGGGAACTCACCCCCGTGCACAGCGGCAGCCTTGGAGTCTGTAAAACAGGATTAGTTATGCAGTCCATGAACATTTGTTCCTCTGCGATTCCAAAACCCAAAATACATTTGTAAATTTCTGGCAGATGCGTTTGGTGCAAACCCCGACCTGAACAAATGGGAGGCTATTTATAGTCTCGAGGCATCCGCTGAGTGTGAAAATTCACACGTTTCGCTGCAGACCCTGCCATGGGTTGGAAGCCAGGGCTCTCCAGACACATGGCAATGGCAGGATGCTGCCGAGGCACTGGCAAACCCCGAGGCCCGGCCCACAGCTGGTGGCGGCACAGCCAGTGCCGCCAGGGTGAGAAAACATTTCGGCTAGGGCGGAAGGCTTTTCATATCCCTGAACCCCAGTCTCCTCTCTGCACTGGCACAGACTTCATTTTTTTTTGAGTCAAGGTTTCACTCTGTCGCCCAGGCTAGAGTGCAATAGCACCATCTCGGCTCACTGCAGCTTGACCTCCTGGGATCAGGTGGTCCTTCCGCCTCAGCCTTCCAAGTAACTGGGACTACAGGCATGTACCACCATGCTCTGGATCTTGGGTTTTGTTGAGAAAGCAAAACAAGGCTGGGTGCGTTGGCTCACACCTATCATCCCAGCATTTTAGGTGGCTGGAGTCGGTGGATTGCTTGAGCCCAGGAGTTTGAGACCCTCCTAGGCAACACAGTGAGAACTCATCTCTTCAAAAAAAATGAAAAATTAGCCGAGCATGGTGGCACATGCCTATAGTCCCAGCTACTTGGAAGGTTGAGGTGGAAGAACCGCCTGAGCCCAGTAGGTCAAGCTGCAGTAAGCCGTGATCGTGCTATTGCATCCAGCCTGGGCGACAGAGTGAAACCCCTACTCAAAAAAAAAAAAAAAAAAGGAAATGAAGTCTGCGCTAGTGCAGAGATGAGACTGGGGTTCAGGCATGTGAAAAAGCCTTCCACCCTAGCTGAAATGTTTTCTCATCACTTTGGTTTTATACAATCTATCCTATGAACTTTTACTTACTTGGCTGGATTAGATAAAAATTCGGCTACTTCATCCTTTCCCTTGCCGCCCAAAATTATTTTAGGATTACTCGAATGTTTTTTAAAACTAGCAAATTTTTTCTTTTTTTTTTTTAGAGTTTCACTCTGTCACTCAGGCTGGAGTGCAGTGGCACACTCATAGTCACTGCAGCCTCGACCTGCTGGGCTCAGGGGATCCTTCTCCCTCAGCCCTTCAAGTAGCCAGAGTTACAGGTGCATGCTACCCTGCCTGGCTAATTTTCTGATTTATTGTACAGACGAGGTCTCATCAAGTTTCCTAGGCTGGTCTCAAATCCAGGAAATCCTCTGGTCTCAACCTCCCAAAGCACTGGGACTGCAGGTGTGAGCCACAACACCCAGCACAACTAGTAACATTTTACAGACAAAAATTTTAAAGACAATCTGTATTATAAAACAAAACCATTTTAAAAATTAATATCCTGCTGGCTGGGTGCTCAAGCCTGTAATCCCAGCACTTTGGGAGGCCAAGGTGAGGAGATTGTCTGAGGCCATGGGTTTGAGAACAGCCTGAGCACCTTGGCGAGACCTCATCTCTACAATAAATCAAAAAATTAACCGGGCGTGGTGGTACACACCTGTAGTCTCAGCTACTTGGAAGGCTGAGGTGGAAGGATCTCCGGAGCCCAGCAGGTCGACTCAGGGGTGGCCACGAGTGTGCCACTGCACTCCAGCCTGGGTGACAGAGTGAGACCCCGACTCAAAAAAAAAATCAGTATACTGCTTATTTTAAATTCCAGAGGTGACATCTCTAAAAATAGAACATTTTCCATGACAAAAATAAGAAAAGCCCTCTTAATCCCTCAGGTGTGTCTGGATGAGGTCTTACCTCATCCCAGCCCTAACTGTGGGAGTCCCAAGGAGAGTGGGCGGGGAAAGGAAGGACCCCCCACCCCCCGCCAGGGAGCTTCCATTCCCAGCCCCGGCTGCTCGGGGTGGGTGTAGACGGCGGGTGAGGACATGGCATCACGCTTCCAGGCCATGGCTGCCTCCTCATCCACAGAGTCTCAGGGATTCTGTCCACAGATGTGGCAGTGCTGGCCCCAGGCTGCAGGGGTCCAGGAAGGATGGGGCAGGGGTCCGCTGTAGCCCAGAGGGGCCCAGGGCGACCCTGAGCACAGTCAGGAAAGAGGATGTCAGTCTGCCCCTGCGAGAAGCAGCTCAAAGAATGAAAACAGGCCTGGACCACCAAAGCCTGAACGTATTTGGGGACAAGCAGAAAGAATAAGGACCCCGGATGCTTCCGAGTCAGCCGGCATCTCGCTGTCCACCTCTGCCCTCCACCCACCAGCCGCTGAGACTCATCAGGAACTAAGTAGCAATCACAGGCGTCTGAACCGAGAGTAAAGTGAGAGATCGTGGACCCCAACTCCCTCACTTTACAGAACCAGCCCAGAGAGGTTGAGTAACTTGCCGGGATCACACAGTCAGGGCATAGCTAAGTCTTCCCCAGGCATGTTTTACCGACGGCACAGAATCTCAAGTTGACTTCCTTTGGTAGGGATCACACACCAGGGTCGTCTAAATGCAGGACAGGCCATGGCAGGCTTCCTGTGAGCGGCAGTTTGGCCCAGGGGGCAAAAGCAGAGACGCAGTGCTGGACTGTGGGGTTGGAAACCAAGTCCAGCACTCCATAGCTGCTTGGACAAGCTGTTTAACTGCTCTGTTTCCTCATCTATGAAATGGGCACCGAAATCATAGAACCTGCTTCATAGCATTGTGGGGAGGACTGAGAGAGCTCATGTATAAAAAGACCCGGAAGCATGAAAGGTGTTGATGACAGTGATGGTGATGGTGACGGTGACAGTGATGGTGACGGTGACGGTGATGATGACAGAGGAAGGAGAAAGAAACCACGGCAGGCACCTAGAGGGACGCGGCACTGTGGATGCACAGATGCTTCTCCTCAGCCGGGCTCTTTCCTTTCGTGAATTTCACCGGGGTCTCCAGCATGTTCTTTCCTGAGCGTGTTCCCCAAGCAGGGCCTGGGCTGCTCCATGGGCATCTGCAAAGGTGGCCAGGCCCCAGCCCTGCCCCAGGGTCTGGCTGCTGGAGCACTTCAGGGTCAGATCTAGGCCATGTTCAACTCACGTCTCCTAACCCGGCACCTTGGAGGTGCGCTTGGGCAGCTGAGATCAGGGAGCTGGGGTTTTGGAGTCAGACTCGTGGTTCGAATCCGGGTCCTGTCCCGGCTAGCCACATCATCCTAGACAGGGCACTCGTCTTCTCCTGACATTTTTACCATGAACATACTCAGCTCACGTGGTGGGGGTGTGGAAGTGTTTTGTTGTTTTTTTTTTGAGTTGGAGTCTCACTCTGTCACTCAGGCTGGAGTGCAGTGGCCGCTCCCGGCCACCACAGCCTCGCCCTGCTCGGCTCAGGCCATCCTTTCGCCTCAGCCTTCCAAGTAGCCAGAACTACAGGCATGCACTACCATACCTGGTTAATTGTTTTATTTATCGTAGAAATGAGGTCTCGCCAAGTTGCCCAGGCTGGTCTCGAACCCCTGGACTCAGGCAATCTTCTCACCTCGGCCTCCCAAAGTGCTGGGATTACAGGCTTGAGCCACCACACCCGGCCAGAAGATTAACAATAATATCTGTCATGCACCATCTTGAAGACTAAGTATGCAGTAGGTGCTTAATAGTAGGTAGCTACAGACAATAATGAATGTCAACTATGATGTCTTGGAGAATATCCTTGGTCCTCGATTTATGATGGGGTTATTGCCTAATAAACCCATTGTAAGTTGAAGATATCAAAAGTCAAAAATTCATTTGATACCCTGACAGGCCGACGCCATGGCTCACACCTGTCATCCCAGCACTTTGGGAGACCGAGATGGGAGTTCGAGACCAGCCTGAGCGACATAGTGAAACCTCGTCTTTACAAAAAAAAAATCTAAAAACTAGCTAGGTGTTGTGGCACACCTCTGCAGTCCCAGCTACTTGGGAGGCTGCGGTGAAAGGTTCACCTAAGTCCAGGAAGTTGAGGCTGTGGTGAGCCGTGATCGTGCCACTGCCCTCCAGCCTGAGTGACAGTGAGACCCTGACTCAAAACAAACAAACAAAAAACCCTAATGATCCCATTGTAAAGTTGAAAAATTATAAGTTGAACCATCAGAAGTCAGGGACCATCTGCTCACTTTTGCCAAGTGGGAGAGGGAAGTGGTGAGCCCACGGTCCGGTTCTCCGTGCCCCTGGACAGGACAGGGAGTCCTCCCACTGGGAAGGCTCCCGGCGCCCGCAGTCCTGGGCACACCTGCCCCAGGCCCAGCCTGCTCCAGGGACCCTAACACCAGCTCGGGCGCGGGCGGGAAGACCCTGGGCTGAGTCCTTTGCCCAACGCCGTCTCATCCCCGTACATCGCCAGGAAGCCCGTCCTGCTCTCGCCCCTACGCTATGGATGGGGAAACCAAGGCACAGACGGGCTGAGAGACTTGCTTCCCAGGACCCACGGGCAGGAAGTGGCAGAGCGATAAGAAGCATCAGGAACTGAAAGCCCATCCTGTGTCACACAGTGCCCAAGGGCGGGTCCTCGGTTCTCCCTCCCCGAAGGTGCCACTTCAAGCTGAATGGGCCTTGTGACTTAGCCAAAGGAATGATTCCCTAAGGGTGGACAGCCCAGTTCCTGATGGGGACCTGGGACCAGAGGGAGGTGGGAGTGAAAATCGGGGTGAGAGGTGGGTCAACGAAGGATCTCCTGCCTCCTCTCTCTCCACGCTGGCTGGGCGTCCACCCCACGTCCTCCTAAGGCCGCCCTGCCTGTTACAGCACCTCAGATGATTGACATTTGGACCACCCTGTTCCACCCAGGCCAGAGCTCTGCTCACTGCTTCTGGCCTGTTCGTGAGAATACCCTTCCCCTCCCAAGGCCCTTGACTCCTGGAGCAGCCATGATGGGACTTTGCGGAGACTGGGGAAGCTTATCACAGGGCCGTGAGGACTTCGTTGCAAGGAACCTTGATTGGGAGGCAGGATGGGCTGGCGGGTACTTCTCCCCTAAAATTCAACCACCAGCTTGAGGACACTCAGGCAAGAAGAGACCTTGTTTTTTTGTTTTGTTTTTTGAGTTGGGTCTTACTCTGTCGCCCACCTGGAATGCAGTGGCATGATCACGGCTCACCATAACCTCAGCCTCCTGGGCTCAGGCGATCTTCCTGCCTCAGCCTCCCAAGTAGCTGGGACTACAGGTGCATGCCATCACACCCAGCTAAGTTTTTGATTTTTTGTGAAGATGAGGTCTCACTGTGTTGCCCAGCTGGTTTCAAACTCCTAGGCTCAAGAGATCCTCCCACCTCGGCCTCCCAAAGTACTGGGATTATAGGCATGAGCCACCATGCCTGGCCAAGAACAGTCTTTTTTAATTTTTTTTTTTTTTTTTTTGAGTTGGAGTCTCACTCTGCCACCCCAGGCTGGAGTTCAGTGGCATGCTCACGGCCACCACAGCCTCGACCTGCTGGGCTCAGGCGATCCTTCCGCCTCAGCCTTCCAAGTAGCCAGAACGACAGGCACACACAACCACACCTGGCTAATTTTTTGATTTATTGTAAGACAAGGTCTCACCAAGTTACCCAGGCTGGTCTTGAACCCTGAGCTCAAGCAATCCTCTCGCCTCGGCCTCCCAAAGTGCTGGGATTACAAGCTTGAACCACCGCACCTGGCCAGAACAGCCTTTTTTAAACACATCTTTTTTTTTTTTTGAGTTGGAGTCTCACTCTGTCCCCCAGACTGGAGTGTAGTGGCCGCTCCCAGCCACCACAGCCTCGACCTGCTGGGCTCTGGCGATCCTTCCACCTCAGCCTTCCAAGTAGTAGGAACTACAGGCACGCGCTACTACGCCCGGCTGGTATTTTGATTTATTGTAGAGATGAGGTCTTGCCAAGTTACCCAGGCGGGTCTCGAACCCGCAGGCTCAGGCAATCCACTCACCTCAGCCTCCCAAGGCGTGGGATTACAGGCTGAGCCACTGAGCCCAGCTAACACATCTTTTTTTAAAAAAAAAAAGATACAGTATCTTGCCCAGGCTGGACTTGAACTCCTAGGCTCAAGGGATTCTTCTGCCTCAGTAACTGCGGCTACCGGCACAAGCCACCATGCCCAGCTAACCACACTTACTATGTAGCACCCAGGAATGAGTTCTCACAAGCAATTCAAACGCAACTTTTCACCGTATCAAGTAGCCTCCCTGACCCACCACCCCAGTGAGAAAGACTGCCAAGAGTTAGACAGATGGAAATTAAATACTATACCGGTTCCCCAACTGACAGAGTCGGCAGTGAACAGAGATTGGGGGGGCCGCTGCTACTTTGCTGAGGGCCCCGCAGTGGGCCAGTCCGCCCCTGCTGGCCAGTCAGGCAGGCTGCAAGGAGGCAGTGGTTCCAAATGGCTACACTGGGAGAGGCTGCAGACCCGTGGCCTCTGGGCCTGGGGCCTCGGCTCCCAAGCCAGCTGGCTGCGCTGCCTGGGTGGTCCCACCATCGTTTCCAGAAACAGAGCTGTTAAAGAGATATGCTGCCGTGCCTAGCCTGCCCTGGGAGTACCAGGATGTAGCAGATGCTGTCTTGAGTTCCTTCCCTCTCTGGCTCATTTCTCCATTCTCTAGAACTATGAAGTCACACCTTTTTTTTTTTCTGAGACAGGGTCTCGGCTGGAGTGCAGTGGAGTAGCGCCATCATCACTCACTGCAGCCTCAAAATCCTGGGCTTGATCAAGGGACCCTCTTGCTTCAGCCTCCTGAGTAGCTGGGACTTCAGGCGTGCGCCATCTTTTTTTTGTTTTTAAGAGATGAGATCTCACTGCATTACCCAGGCTGGTCTCAAACTCCTGGGTTCAAGCAATCCTCCCACCTCAGCCTCCCAAAGTGCTGAGATTACAGCCGTGAGCTACTGTGCCTGGCCAAGTTCAAAGTTTTTTGAGTGAAAGCAACATGCAGGGCATTTTTACATTGCAACCCCAATGCACGAAAAGTGAACCTTACCCTCATAATGCGGTGCATTCCGATGCTCTCTGTACTAATCATTTTCATTTTTTTAAAAATTGATGGTTGCATTTTTGTTTTTTTCCGCAGCCTCAACCTGCTGGGCTCCAGCGATCCTTCCGCCTCAGCCTTCCAAGTAGCCGGAATTACAGGCATGCACTACCACACCTGGCTGATTTTTTGATTTATTGTAGAGATGAGGTCTCGCTGCCCAGGCGGGTCTCGAAACTGCAGGCTCAGGCAATCCACTCACCTCAGCCTCCCAAAGGCGCGGAATTACAGGCTGAGCCACCGAGCCCGGCTGATGTTTGCATTATTACAAAGGAATAGCAGAAGGAATTGGGGTGGGGTGATGGAGCTGGTGTACACCTTGGTTGTGACACTGGTTACAAACATCCATACGTGTGTTAACATTCATAGAACTGCACACCCCCCAAAAAAGTCAATCTCATGCCTAATTTATTTAAAAAGTTTGGCCAGGTGCGGTGGCTCAAGCCTGTAATCCCAGCACTTTGGGAGGCCGAGACGAGGATTGTCTGAGCCTGTGGGTTCAAGATCAGCCCAGGCAACTTGGTGAGACCTCATCTCTTCAATAAATCATAAATTAGCCTGGCGTGGTGGCGCGCGCCTGTAGTTCCAGCTATTTGGAAGGCTGAGACAGAAGGATCGCCTGAGCCCAGCAGGTTGAGGCTGCGGCAGCCATGAGCATGCCACTGCACTCCCGCCTGGGCGACAGATTGAGACTCCGATTCAAAATAAAAATAAAAACAAATTAAAAGGTTTTCCTTTTTTTTTATTTTTTGAGTCGGAGTCTCACTTTGTCTCCCAGGCGGGAGTGCAGTGGCACAATCACTGCTCACCGCAGCCTCGACCTCCTGGGCTCAGGCGTCCCGCCTGAGCCTCCCAAGTAGCTGGGACTATAGTCACACGCCACCTTTGGCTTATTTTTTTTATTTTTTGTAGAGACAAGGTCTATGTTGCCCAGGCTGGTCTCAAATGCACAGGCTCAAGCAATCCTTCCACCTCAGCCTCCCAGAATGCTGGGATCATAGGCATGAGCCACCACACCTGGCCCTAAAAAGCTTTTTAAAAAGAAAAAAAAAATGAATGGCTGCAACCTACTACGTTGAATTCATGATTGCTTAGGGATTCCACTCTGTGGTATAAAAATCCCTGGTCCTGGACCCCATGATGGTGGTGGGGGGAGGCCGTAAGGGCCGTTGCTCCAGCTGTGGGTGAGCGTGGGCCGTGGAAAGGGGAGCAGGTGAGAGGCTTGACTTCCTGATCCTCCTTTCTCCTGTCTGCAGTCACTTCCTGCCTCGGGTGGTCCAGCTGGAATGACCCAGGTAAGGAAGAGCCCATGGAGGGAGCCCTGGGGCTGGGGGAGCGTGGGCTGCAGTTCCATCAGACCGTAGGGGAACCCGCCGGTTAGGAAACCATCACCTCCACCGACATAAACATCTCCCCACCGAGAGAGTGAAGCCCGCCGCACACACAGCGCATTTAAGATGCCCGTATGCAGGCTATAAGCAGCACGTGAATGCTGGTCCTCGTGGTGCTGACGATCATGACGCACCCACCATGCCCAGAAAACATACCAGCCCATACATGGACCTTCCAAGGCCCATCTCCCACGCTGTCCTGCCAGATGCTTCATGGTCAAAGACGTTTGCAGCCGAGGCTGACTGGATTGTAAAGTGTGTTGAGGGTCCAGCCTTAGAGGTTGGACTTTAATCACAGAGGCCAGTGTTTCCCAAGTGGGGTTTCCTGAAGCATGTTGGGCAAAGGGCAGGCAATTCCGTATCTCCCACTGGAGACCGATGATATACGCTGGCCCAGTAAAGGCCCTGAGAAGTCCTGCAGTGAAGAAACATGTGAAGCATTCTTTACCTCAGTGGTTTCCACACTCATTTCACCACAGGCCTCTCTTTTTCACGTCGAGTGGGATCACATCAGGCTGGATGTCTCTGGGGAGAAATGCGACTGGAGGGTGTCCTAAAGTCACTGCAGCCAGAGGGGGCCACAGGGGCCGTGCAGGACCTGAGCCAGGTTCTGGATCCTGCACTGACATTCTAGCGCCAAGCTCTAGCAAGCTGCTTGACTCCCTGAGCCCTGGTTTCCCCACCTAATGAAGTGGGAAGAAAGTCTCTTCCCTGGTGAGGAGGTCATGAGCCAGGTCGCTGGGCAAAAAGTTGGTGAAGCGGTCAACCAACCTTAGATGTGGAGACTAGCTCGCTGCCTCTAACTCGCCAAGTGACCGCAGCAAGCACGGGCCCTGTGCGTTGGCCCAGAGTGTCCTCGCTTGAAGGAAAAGGCAGCCTGACCTGTGGTTTCCAACCAGAATCACCTGGAAGAGCCTTTTACAGCCTTAAAATTTCAGGACTAGATGACACATTCATCTGGCTCAAAACTTTAAAAATATAAAAAGTTCTGTTCCTATATTTTTATATCCAGCTCTACCTCCATCTGTCCTGCCCCCCCAACCCCAACACATTAGGTAACGACCACGTTTATTCGTTTCTTGCATGTCCTTCTAGCCGCCCTTCACACAAATACACACATACACACACACACACACACACACTCACATTATTTTTTTTCCCCTCATGGAGCTTTATAAGATCGCACAATGGTACCTGGTCCTATACCGGAGGCGTGAGGGCCAGTTGGAAGCCCAAACTTCACCTCCAAGCAGCCTACTTAAGTAGTTAATCCTCACTTGTCCCCCACATTGCTATAATAAAATAAAACCTAATTTTTTTTTTTTTGAGTTGGAGTCTCACTTTGTCCCCCAGACTGGAGTGCAGAGGCCGCTCCCAGCCACTGTGGCCTCGACCTGCTGGGCTCCGGCGATCCTTCCGCCTCAGCCTTCCGAGTAGCTGGAATTACAGGCATGCGCTACCATGCCCGGCTGATTTTTTAAAATTTATTGTAGAGATGAGGTCTCGCTGCCCAGGTGGGTCTCAAACCCACGGGCTCAGGCAATCCACTCACTTCAGCCTCCCAAAGGCGCAGGATTACAGGCTGAGCCACCGAGCCCAGCTATAAAACCTAATTTTAAAAAATAAAATCACACAAGCCGCGTCCCTCCCCATGACCCAGCAATTCCGCCCCTGGGTACTACCCAAAAGAAACAGACACGTGCTCTCACAAAGACCTATGTGCAAATGTTCATAGCAGCTCTATTCACAGTAGGCAAGGCCAGAAACAGACCAAAGAGTGAAACAAGCAGGGTGTCTCCACACAAGAAAATCTCACTCAGTGAGCAAAAGAAATGAACGGCTTGAACATGCAACAACGCAGAAGAATCCCAGATGCATGCTAAGCAAAAGGAGCCAGACCAAACTGAAATAAAACCCACGCACTGTCTCCATTCATGTGACATTGTAGAACTGGCAAAACCAATCTCTAGTGACAGAAAGCAGATCAGTGGTTGCCCGGGGCTGGATTCAGGGAAGTTAACTAGAGAGTGACCTCTTCCCTCTCATTCCTCCCTCCCCATCCCGCACGAAGGAACTTTCTAGGCGATGGAAGTGTTCCCCACCTAGAGTAGTGGTGGTTACATGCAGGTACATTTCACTGGACATAAATTGTGCCTCCATAAAATTAGTTTTTCATTTTATTTAAAGTTTTTCTTTAAAATTCATTGATTTAAAGTGCAATTTAATTAAATCTTATTTAAATAATATCATTTAAATTATATTTATTTAATATTTATTTAAGTAGTATATATATTTTTTTGAGTTGGAGTCTCACTCTGTCGACCTCTGGGCTCCCGTGATCCTTCCGCTTCAGCCTTCCAAGTAGCCAGAACTACAGGTGTGCGCTACCGCACGTGGCTAATTTTTTTTTTTAATTTATTGTGAGACGAGGTCTTGCCAACTTGCTTGGAGTGGTCTCAAACCAGTTCAGGCAATACACTCGCCTCAGCCTCCCAAAGTGCTGGAATAACAGGCTGAGCCACCGAGCCAAGCCTAAATAATAATCTTAAATGTTTATTTAAATATTCTTATATTAAATAGTATTTATGTAAAATTTTAAATATTTAAATAATAATCTTAAATGTTTATTTAAATATTATTATATTAGTCCAGGCACAGTGGCTCAAGCCTGTAATCCCAGCACTTTGGGAGGTCAAGGTGAGAGGACTGCCTGACCCCGCGGGATCAAGACCAGTCTGGGCAAACTGGTGAGACCTCGTCTCTACAATAAATCAAAAAATTAGCCAGGCATGGTGGCACATGCCTGTAGTTCCAGCTACTTGGAAGGCTGAGGCAGAAGGATTGCCGGAGCCCAGCAGGTGGAGGCTACAGTGGCCAGGAGTGGCCACTGCACTCCAGCCTGAGTGACAGAGTGAGACTCCAACTCAAAAAAAAATTATTCTATTAAATATGATTTAAATAAATATTTAAATGTTATTATACTAAATTTTTTTTTTGAGTTGGAGTCTCACTCTGTCGCCCACACTGGAGTGCAGGGGCAGGCTCCCGGCCACCGCAGCCTCAACCTGCTGGGCTCTGGTGATCCTTCCACCTCACCCTTCCAAGTAGCTGAAATTACAGGTGCACGCTACCACACCCGGCTAAATTCTTTGATTTATTGTAGAGATGAGGTCTTGCTGCCCAGGCGGGTCTCGAACCCACGGGCTCAGGCAATCCACTCACCTCAGCCTCCCAAAGGTGCAGAATTACAGGCTGAGCCACCGAGCCCGGCTCCTAAATATTATTTAAATAAAATTTTAAGTACTTATTTAAATTTTAATTAAGTGTTAATTAACTTTGATTAAATTGCAATTAAAGTTTTTATTTAAAAATGAGTTTTTAATTTTATTTAAAGTTAAAAAACCAGCCATCGGGCCCTGTCTCAGGCCTGCCGAGACAGAATTCCAGGAGGGGTGACTGCTGGCCAGTGGGTGCTGACAACACATCGCCCTCTGCTCCGCGTTCCCCTCGGGCTCTGGAATCTGGATGCCCCTGCCCCACATCCCCCCCAGCTTGGAGGCTACCTGGGCCCGGAGCACCCCAGCCTGAGATCTTGGGGAGCCCCTGCGGTGCCCAGAAGGGACGAAATACCAGGAGCAGGGCGGGAGGGCCCTGGCTAGGCAGGGGTCTCCCGAGAGGGGCAGTGAGGGGGTCCCGGGGAAAGCCCTTCCCAGCTGACCCCTCCACCTCCTCTCTGACCCTCAGATTTCCAGGGGCAGCTCACCGGCTCCTCCTCGCGGTGCCAGGGCCAGCTGGAGGTCCACCTCCAGGGCTCGTGGAGCACGGTTTGCAGCCAGAGCTGGGGCAGGAGCCCCTCTCGCTGGGAGGACCCCCACCAGGTCTCGAACATCTGCCGACGGCTGGGCTGCAGGGAGGCCGTGATCCTGGCCCCCTTCTCCCGCTTGAACACCCCCCGGAACCAGCTCATCTGCCACGGACACCTGGGCACCTTCTCCAACTGCACCGTCGGACCAGACCAGTGCCCCCCTCTGAGCCTGGTCTGCTTAGGTGGGTGATGGCCCCACCCCACAGCCACACGGGCACCCGGCCTGGGCACCAGCCCCAAGGAGGCTGCCCAGGGCCTGCGATCTGGGGAGCCCCTGCTATCTGTGGGAGGGGGAGGGTGTCCCTGGTTTATAACACCCGCAAGACCCCCATGCCAGCGGGGGAGCTGGCAGCTGGCACCTGCCTGGCAGGATGAGAAAGGTGAGCTGGTCTGCCCTGGCCGACATCATCGCTCTCCTCTGACCCTCCGTACTCCCGTCTGTGAGGTGGCTGGTACCGCCCACCTCACAGGAGGCTCTGGGTGTGGGTCAAGGGGACCGAATGTGGCAAGTGGCCGTCTTTCTCCGGACTGCTGGCTGCCCCCAGTCTGCCCCTCACCCCCATTTCCCCTCCACGCCCCGTCTCACCAGAATGTCTCATTGCAGAGCCCCAGACGACGACACCGCCCCCCACAAGCCCCCCGCCCACCACCACTCCAGAGCCCACAGGTGAGAGGAGTCTGACCCTCCCAGAGAGTCCGAGTCAGCAAATAAAAACCCAGGATGCCCAGTTACATTTGAATTTCAGATAAACGTGGAATTTTTTTTTTTTTAGAGTGGGAGTCGCCAGGCTGGAGGGCAGTGGCACGCTCACAGCCACTGCAGCCTCGACCTGCTGGGCTCCGGCAATCCTTCCGCCTCAGCCTTCCAAGTAGCTGGAACCACAGGCACACACCATCACACCCGGCTAATATTTTGGTTTCTTGTAGAGATGAGGTCTTGCCGAGTTGCCCAGGCTGGTCTCGAACCCATGGGCTCTGGCAAGGCTCTCACCTTGGCCTCCCAAAGTGCTGGGATTATAGGTGTGAGCCACCATGCCCAGCCAGAAATTTTTTTTAGAAACAGAATCTCACTCTGTCCCCTAAGCTGGAGTGCAGTGACGCCATCAGAGCTCAAGGCAGCCTCGAATCCCTGGGTCAGGCACTCCTCCCTGAGTAGCTGGAGCGAATACACCTCTCCTGGCTACTTTTTAAATTTTTTTTGTAGAGATGAGGTCTTGCAATGTTGCCCAGGCTGGTCTGGAACTCCTGGACTCAATAGATCCTCCCTCCTCAGCCTCTCAGAGTGCTGGAATGGCAGGCATGAGCCATGACACCCCGCCAAACATGGGAACTTTTAGTTTAAGTGTGTCCCGTGCAATATTTGGGACCTCACCACCTCCCAAGGCCAGCTGTTCGTCAGCATCAGTCCCTGTTGGGGCCACACAGCAAGAAACACCGTGTGGTGCTGAGGAAGGCTTCGCACTCAGGCTGGCTCGCCCGCCCTGCTCTCTCCTCTCCCAGCTTCTCCCAGGCTGCGGCTGGTGCCAAGGCCCGGGGACCTTCACTGCACCGGCGTGGTCGAGTTCTACAGTGGCGGCCAGGGCGGCACCGTCAGCTACGAGGGCCAGTCTGAGGCCCGAGGGCTTGGAAACCTGCTTTGCGAAGCCCTCCAGTGTGGCTCCTTCTTGAAGCATCTGCCAGGGTCCAAGGCAGCCGGGGCACAAGACCTAGGCGAGGCCGGGGGACACAGACCCTTGCCCATTCGATGGGAGATCCAGAATGCAAGCTGTGCCTCCGTGGAACAGTGCTTCAGGAAAATCCAGCCCCAGAAGCAGGGGGCAGCTCTCACCCTGGCCTGCTCGGGTGAGTGAGACCCGGCCGGGCCCCATGGGGGCCTTCTGCGGCCCTGATCCCTATCCAAGCATCCCCAGGAGGTCAGAGAACACGTGCTTCCTGAGAACGCCTGGGTACTACGCAGGGCACGCGGCGCCATGGAGAAGACGAGGGCAAGACGGGGCGGGGTGGGGAGGATACGCAGTGCCTTGGGAATCTCTCCCAAGCAACACTGACCAAGCCCCAGGGAACTGGTCCAGCCGCCCCAAGGGAAAGGGAAATCAGGAAGACTTCCAGGAGGAGGCAAGTTCTCCTCGTGGGTTTAGGGGAGAAAAAGAGAGACAATTGCCGGTGGGGTTCGTGTCTTGTGCCAAAGATGGAGGGCATGGAGGGGCTGGCCTTGCAGGAGGGGAGTTTGTGCATCCCAAAAGGCGAGGTTGGAGGATGGTGAGGGGTGGGAGGCCCCTGAGGTCCGGCAGAGGAGAGAGACCAGAGGAGGCCCCAGAGGGCTCTCTGCAGAGGGTCCCTAGCCACGGGCCCACAAAACAAAGAGAATGGCGATATGGGTGTGGGTGAGGGGAGGAGGCAGGTCAGACTGAGTCTGTGAGACCCCCAAGGGGCCGAAGCAGGGTCCGTGGAGGAAATTGAGGGGACAGTCCACAGTTCAAACTAAAGAGGAGTAATCACGGCATGCCTCCAGAGGTGGTGGCTGCCGTCATGGAAGGTGACTGTGCTTACCAAGAGCTTAGGGACCACTCCAGGGCATTTTAAAGTATTCACGAGGATCTTAGGAGGCGGGTGTTATTATCCCTTTTTTACAGCAAGGAAAGCAGAGGCTCAGAGAGATTAAACTTCTTGCCCAGGATCACAGAGCATTGGCTGGGATTTCTGTTCAGGCAGGGTCACTCTAGGGCCTAGGGTCTTGGCCGCTCAAGGTGTAGTCCTGCTGGGCCAGCACCACGAGCATCACCCGGAGTTGGTGAGAAATGCAGATACTCTGGCCCCACCCCAGATCTTCTGGATCAGAATCCACATCTCAGCAAGGAGCCCAGTGATTTGCGGGATTCACAGATCTGGGATTCACAGATCTGGGAAGCAATCGCTCAGGGCCATTCGGCTAGCCTGCAAACAGGACCATCCCCAAACCCTTTACCTAGGTGTGAACTAGTATCATGCTACCCCCCCAGGCAGAAGCAGCCCCCGAGGGTCTCCCGGCCCAAGGAGGAGGGCACCTCAGCCCCACTGGCACACCCAGCAGGGATCTCCCTGCAGGCGACAACCCTCAAAACCATGCCCTGCGTTCCTGCCTTTAAAGCTTCTTCCCCCTAGGTTTACCGGGCTTTGAAGGTGGATGTTGCTATGGAAACCGGCCAAAGCTGGTGAGATCACAGCTCACTCTAAACTGAGCACGCACAGGCCTCGTTGTGGACTCCTGGTCCCGTCTTGGCAGACCAGAAATGGAGCCTCACTCTGTCACCCAGGCTGGAGGGCAGTGGCATGCTCCTGGCCACTGCAGCCTCAACCTGCTGGGCTCCGGCGATCCTTCCACCTCAGCCTTCCAAGTAGCTGGAACTACAGGCGCACGCTACCACGCCCGGCTAATTTTTTGAATTATTGTAGAGATGAGGTCTCGCCAAGTTGCCCAGGCTGGTCTCGAACCTGTGGGCTCAGGCACTCCTCTCACCTCAGCCTTCCAAAGTGCTGGGATTGTAGGTGTGAGCCACCACATCCAGCCTGAATGAGTGTCTCTTTGGGGCCAGGCCCCCTCTCCTGAAAACCAGGCCCTCAGGGCGCAGGGCCTGGGCAGTGGGACCTGTCCCAACTGCAGGAGATCTTTCCCAACCCGGAGCCTCAGTTTCCCTCTTCTAAAAAGCCCTCCTTCTTCCCAAGGTGCAGCAGGAGAAGGAGAGGATGTCTCTGGGAGGGAGTTGGACCCAGGTGGAGCCTCTCTCCCTGCTTTCTCACCTCCGCCTGGTATGGGACCAGCTCCTGCTGGTGGCTGCCCACAGGCATGGCCACACTGCCAGCCTCCTTAGCCCGTGCTGCCATGTCTCAGGATGGCACCAGCTGCTGCCCAGAGGCACCAGGGACAGGGCTTGGTCAGGGGAAGAGCCACAGAGGATGCCAGAAAGAGGGAAGGACAGGAAGGAAGGTGGCCTGGCCTGAAGATTCCACCTGGTGCCTCCTCCCTGCCAAGTTCTCACTTCCCCAGGGACACAGGGCCCCAGGGTCCAGAACGCAGGGTCGGGGCCAGGCCTCCACCCTCATCTCCCATTGCTTCCCTTCCCAGATTTCCAACCCAAGGTGCAGAGCCGCCTGGCGGGGGGCAGCAGCATGTGTGAAGGCGTCGTGGAAGTGCGCCATGGGGGTGAGCAGTGGGCGTCCCTGTGTGACAGCTCCCCGGCCAAGGTCACAGCACGGTGGAAAGAGGTGTGCCGGGAGCAACAGTGCGGCAGCGTCAAGTCCTATCACGTGCTGGATGCTGGCAAGACCCCCCGAGGGCTCTCATGTCCCAAGGAGATACTGTCCCAGTGTCTTGAGCTTCAGGAGGAAAAATCCCACTGCAAGAAGGTGTTTGTCACATGTGAGTCGGTCTCAGTCTGAGCTGGGCACAGGACAGTCACAACTTTCCTCAAGGACCTGGTCAGGGAGCATGTCTCTGAAGGACAGGAGCTAGACAGAGCCCCGGAGCCTGGGAAAGGGCAGAGAGACAGAAAATGGGGACCCCGGGAGCAAGAATGCTCAGACAGCGATGAGCACCAATAATAAGCAGAACACGGGGCTAGGGAGCAGGCACAGCATCGCCAGGCCGCCAGTGAGGGGCAGGACGCCTCCTCCCATTAGAAGGATGGCTCTCCTGGGGTGGAAACTAGACAACTGGGGTAGGTGGCACGAATACAGCACATGAAATGATGGTTGAATAATGGATAAAAGAGAGAGATGGATGAATGGAGGATGGATGGATCGGTGGGTAGATGGAGGGTGAGTGGGTGGGTGAGTAGATGGGTGGGTGGGTGGGTGGATGATGGATGGGAGGGTGAAGAAC